TCTATGTTCTACAATAAAAAGCAAACTTCAGTGGAAAATCCAGGGTCTTAAACCTTTTTAGATTGACAAAGATTAAAAGTCATCAAGTGAGTGTGAAATGCAGGTAAGTAGGAACAAAATGTTCCTACCCAAAAGAAAAGAGAGTAAAGGCAAAAGCAGGAACCATTAAAAAAACAACCCAACATGATAAAAAAAAAATCAAAGAATGTTCTCAAGAAATGGGTCTTTTTTTTAAAAGAAAAAAAAAAGGAAAGTAGAATATAGATAAAATTCAGCAAAGTGCAACAGAAACATATACTATAAGAAGTAAGAATGGAGAAATAGCCACACATGAAGAATAATCATTAGCAGGGCAGTGGTGGTGCACGCCTTTAATCCCACCAGTAGGGAGACAGAGGCAGGCAGATCTTTGTGAGTTCAAGGTCAGCCTGGTCTACAAGAGCTAGTTCCAGGACAGGCTCCAAAGCTACAGAGAAACCCTGTCTAGAAAAAAAAAAGAATAATCTTTAATAATTACTCTGTGCAGCACTTTAGGGATAAATATGAACTTTTCTAGGAAACTGTATCTTCCTAAAACCAACCCTAGAAGAGAGTAAAAATTTAAAGAACAGCTAACCAAAGAAGTTCAAAAGAGCTTAAAAGAACTACATCTACCCTTTGTCACAAATGAACAACCAATCAGAGGAGGAGAAGGAGGAAGATTTCAGTCACCTTGATTCTGATACTGACAGGATGATTGGCAACCAGCAGACAGTCAAACATCGGTCAGGAGCTGGTGGGTACTGAAGAAGCTTCCTTCACACCCACTCAGGAAAAGTGGGTTCCAACAAGGTTCCCAGGAGCCTACGCTCAAGTTGATGTCTGTGGAAACTGATTTATTTGATAGCTCTACAAACAATGTCCCAAGGACCAAACCCAGACCACCCTTCCTCTTCATAAATAAAATTCTATCGGGGCATAACTAGACTATTTATCTCTGTGTTAATTACAGCTGTTGTCCCAGTATGCTAGCAGCACTGGGTCACTGCATCCATGATCATCATTACCCATTTGGATTGATTCTGTTGTGATACATAGGGCACGCGAGTTTAAAGCTGATTATAACAGTCATCAAACAGTGAGGGTTTTGAACAGTTCAGACTTAGCCTAGAGTTCACAAGCAATGACGATTTAATGCCTTTCTTACAAATATCAGAATAGAAGTAGACCTCAGCGAGAAAATAATAAGAAAACACTCACCTGTAAACCCAGCATTCAACTGGCTAAGTGTAAGAAGAATCTTAAGACAAGAAACTAGAAAACTTTCTTTGATGTATGGTGCGGGAGAATTGTCTGTAATCTGTCAATTATATTTTAAATAAATGCTGATTGACCAGGCAGGAAGTATAGGTGGGAAAACCAGGCAGGAAGTAGAGGTGATGCAATGAGAACAGGAGAATTCTGGGAAGCAGGAAGCTCCCTCCACCATTCCTGCCCAGATCACCGAAGAAGCAACATGTGAGCTGACAGCTGAAAAAGGTACCAAGCCATATGACTAACATAGATCAGAATAATGGGTTAATATAAGCTGCAAGATTTAACAGGAAGCCTGAGCTAATGGGTCAATCAGTTTATAATTTTATGGAGTCTTGTGTGTGATTTTCTTTGGGGCTTGCCGGTGGTGGGTTACTAGGCGGACAGATACCCCAACAAGCCGAGCCGGCCCCTCATATTACAGATGTAGCCCAAAAGAAACTGGCAAAGCTCCTTGTTATTATTTTCTAGTTGCTTGAGAAAATACAAAAATAAACCAACAGCAAAATGAATAATTACGAATTTCCTTCAACCCCAAACTACCTGCCAGGTTACTAATCAAATAATAAAGGGATTTCGACTAGAATCATACAGAAAATGTTGCAATCCTAAGAAATAAAATCAGTGGCAAAATATGAAAAAAACAAGAACATAATCCAGTAAGTTATAATATTAATTATTGGTTACTGTTTGACAAAATGTCTCAAAATTTGATATTAACTACTGCTTTAGATTCTTAACCCATAGCCTCTGCTGACTCAAAACTTAGGGATTGTTTTAGACTGTTTACATCTACAATTTGTATGCTGACATGTTATCCTGATATGTTTGGAAATGGGTGATTAGATCATCTTGAAAGAGCCTTCAGGAATGGAGTTAGTGTCCCTCTAAAAAGAGGTTTAGGATCTTCCTGTCCCTCTCACTGTGTGAGACACAGTGAGAGGGCCCTGTGTGTGGACCAGAGGGTGCTATCACAACAGGACTGTACACCAGTGCCTGAGGCTTGCAATTCCAAGCTTTAGACTATGATGTATATCGGAGTGTGCCCTCATTCACGCTATTTCCTTATGGCAAGCGAAATATATGATGCCACTTAGAACATCAAGTTTATTCTTCCACAAAGGTCTACAGGGACTCGGTGAGCAGACTGGCTGGGTGGGTCTTGTTCAGAGTCGCTCGTGAAGCTGTCTCTCAGCAGATGTCTGGACCACTGCTGCCTGAAGGCTGACAGGAAGGCGTTCCAGGAGCCACAACTGAGGCAGCGAACTCACAGGACAGTAGTTCATCCTTGCTGCTGGCCTCCTCCTCCCGTAGCTGAGGGAGCCTACCTGCAAAGCTGTATGGATGACGTTTTTGTAGCATAGCTTCTGGTTTACCCCAGAACAAATCACACAAAGTGAAGTAGAAGCCCATAGGAAGCCATGCCCGCTCTGTGAGCTAATTTATGAAGAAGCATGCCATCACTGTTTCATAGAAGAGAGACGCTCAGACCAGTCCAGCATCAAGAGAAAGTCCGAGTACTACTTCAAGTCTTAAAGAATATAGCATTCTAGGTCCCTACATACATCTTCTGAAATATGGTCCATAATACATCCACAAAACCAAGCCAATAGTGTTCCTGTATACCAGTCACATTTAAAATACAAGAAAATTTAAAAAGGCTTCCAAATAGACAAAATGGATCAACAAGCAAATCTTTTTTAGAAGGTTATTTTTTTTTGCTATTTTTAAGGATTTTGTATTTATGTGTATATGTGGATGTATGTTATGTGAGTTCAGGAGCCCACAGGGCCAGAAGAAGGCATCAGATGCCCTGTTGCCCGAGTTACAAGTTGTTGTGAGCCACCTGATTCTGGTTCTGGAAACTGAACTCAAGCCTCCTAGGAAAGCAGTGCGTGCTTTTCACTGTTCAGCCATCTCTCCAGCTGCACAATCCATTCGTTTAAATACAGGAGCCACCTTGTTGATGAGCACATGAGTGACATTGGAACTGCACTAGGTCAAAGGTAGAAAGCTTACCTCGTGTGAACATAGCCCTGGGCTCAATCCCCACCACTGAAGGAAAACAAAAACACAACAAAAGGAAGTTTGCCCAAGCTCACTATTCCTCACGTGAATCAGACAGAACAGGGTTCTCTTTTGAACCATCTCAGATCTGCAAAATATTAAAGTGTCACATCTTTAAGGGCAACTGGGGGTTAAAAAGCAAGGGACCTCTCAAACATAGTTCCTGGGACCCTGTCTCCCTTGAAACAGCGTGACTTGAGTTGGAAAAATGCACAGTGCATTAAACCATACCTTTCTGCGCTGGGGAAACTCTCTCTTCTGTTCAAGATCCAAACAGGGACTTCCTTGCCTCTTTGTTTCTAATAAACAAAAGACAATAGGGCCATCCTATTGTCCACTTCCAGAAAGACATATGGGTAACTGAAACAGCCATTGTAATACATTGGACTGAATACATTGGTATGGACAAAGTCTTACGAATATATTGAAGTACAGAGGAAGCTACAGAGGAAATCACACAGGGCAATTCTAGGCCTTGTTTAGGAATGTCTACTGTGGAGGCCTGAAAATATGAGCCTATTTCCACTTTGACCAAAGGTCAGAGAATTGGAACTTACCTCTACTTCCCTCAAGGTTTTGTGTTTCTCCCTCAAAGATCCCACCTAGATTTAGGTCAGAGAGTTCTGCTCTCTTGGGGTTATTGTCAACAGGTGCGGCTAATAGCCAGCCCTGCACTCCAGGATTAGAGAAGTATATCTGTTCCTACCTCAAACAAAAGTCTAAGGGTCCAACTAAGTTCCAGTTCCCTTAAGGAGATAATGTTGAATTCTACCCAAAGAGTGGTTTGTCTACAGAATGTTTTTGTGTAAGCGTGACTTGTTTTATTCTAGCAGCAGAATGTTTAACTATGAATGTAGCCTGTGACCTTCAATTGGTCTGTTCATTTCCTTATATCGCATTAATGCAGTCTTTTGTCTTACTCCTACCTTTTGGGGTCAGTGGTATTTTAAGCAGTTAGAAATTAAACGGGCACATTTTCAGTACTCACTGGGATTCCCTCCCGATACTATCCTACATGTGTCTCTGTTTTATTATTTTCATTTGTGCTTTCATATTCTTTACTATATTTCTAAATCCCCATGCCTCTACCACGGCAAGAAGTACTTTTGTCGAGGCTGCTCCCTGACAATCTGCCCGTGTCCTTAAAGTCTTTTGAATGTGCGATGCCCTCCGCAGACTCACATATGAGCACTGAAGCTGATGTTGACGTTTAGGGAAAGGATGGAACCTTTGGAGGTTGGGCCTCACTGGAGGAAGGGGCTCATGAGAGGGCAGGCCCTATAGCCCTATGCTATTTGCTGTCCTGTCTCTGTTTCCTATTTAACCAGCTGTAGTTCCTGCTGCCATGAAGCCACCTGTCCCCACAAAGCCACCAGCCATCATACCTACACTGCCGTGTTGAAATGCGGTAGAAAGAGGCAGGTGGAGGCTTCAGTTTTGTTAGGAATGTTTTGTTTAAGCTAAGTTATGAGCACACATGCATTTTTAAAAATTACTCTTATACTTTCTAAGTGTCATTTCATAATATATCTCATAATAAAATATTCTAAAGAAAATGTAATGAAAAAATGTATCATTTAAGATTGCAACATGAGAAAGCTGAATACCTAGGAATTCAAAATCATCTCTTAATGGAAAAGTGACCAATTTAACTACTTTGGCACGGTAAATTAAATATGAATAAAACATAAGAATGAATGAAAATTGGGAAAATGTTTTCATAGTCCAAAGGGCTGATGCCTTTATTACATACAGAGGTCCTTGTTTTCAGTCATATGGCCAATAACCCAGAACAATAACAGAATAACTCATGATCTGACAACCCACAGAAATATAAGCAGCACATTAAGTATATATGAGAAATTCAGACTGGGGAGATGACTCAGTTGGTAAAAGTGTTTGTTGTTCAAATGTGAAGACCTGAGTTTTAATCCCCAGAACCCACATCGAAAAGCAAGATTTGAGCAGGAAGAACCATCATCTGCAATCCCGGTACTCCTGTGGGGAGAAGGGAGATAAAGACAGAGATTCTCAGGAAGTCCGAGGGCCACTGACCTGGTTAGTACATAGCAGAGAAATAAGGAGATCTTGTCTTCAAGTGGACAATGAGAAATGACACCCAGGCTTGACCTCTACATGCATGTTGTGGTATATGCACATCTTTATCCACACAGGAAAGTATGTAAGTGCACACACGTACACCATACACACACAAGTGGAAGGGGGGAATGAGGAGGAGTGAAGAGAGGTGGCAAGGCAAGTAGAAACGAGAAAGCAATGTGCTTGTCCATTAGCGTCTCCAAAAGCCCTGGTGAAGGCGAGGAAGTAACATGCTCACATGGGGTCGTCAAGCACAATGCATGTTGTCATGCTGTCAGTGGAGGGAGGGAGTCGTGGTTTATGGAATGTGGAGTGCACATTGCACCCTTCAACCTCAGCATTCCGTCTCTGGACCCTTTTCTGTGCATATTTGCACACACATGGAATGATTTGTTTTCAGTTAGTAAAGTTTGAAACAGATGAAATGGCCTTTGATAAGAACTTTACATGATAAAATCTGAAGTATCCATTGTATTGAGTACTAGGCAGTGGTTTTTAGATGGGGTAACTGTAATGGTCTGTCCCGTCCCTTTAAGAGACAAGTCACACCCGCTCCTCACCCCAGTTTTCAGCCTGAGTCCCTTCCTTCTCTCTCTCTCTCTCTCTCTCTCTCTCTCTCTCTCTCTCTCTCTCTCAGAGGCAGTTTCTGTCTCTCCCTTCTCCCCACTTCCCCCTCGCTCCCTCTGTTTTACTTTCTCTCTGTCTCTGTCTCTCTCTTTCTCTGCCTCTCTCTCTCTGCTCTTCCCTCTTCTCCCCTTCCCTTCCATAACCAACTAAGTAAATATCCAACTTCACTCTGTATGTCTCTGTTTCTCACCCACTGCGTGACTCCCTGTCCAGGACCAGCTGTCTTCGGATCTGCACCGTGGCCTTGTGGCGTGTCTATCCATCTCAGTCTCTTCCCCACAATGCAGCTCTGTGCCTAGGATCCGCTGGCCCTCAAGGCCTGCAGGCCACTTGGTGGCTTCCTGCCTGGGGCCCGACTACCTTCGCGGCCTGCTGTGGTCTCGGGACCCGCTGCCCACTGCCACCACCCGGGGACCTGTAACATTTTATTTAAACCATAACAATCAGCTCCCTCTACACACTGAGCGAAGGTTGCAGGATGAATCACACAGACTAGTGTGAGGGAAACTGTGTGCACTGATTTTCACAGAAGTAAGAGCAGCAGTATACCCACAGCTTGTTCATATGTGGAAAGGTCTGGAAGGAGAAACTGAAAATGCAGCAGCCTCTTAAAAGTTGCTTGGGTCCTCAGAAAATCTAAAGGCAAGATGGTGGCCTGGCACCTCTGTCCTTACTTTGTGTTTTGTGCTTTGGCCTAAGGCTCTGCAACAATTTACTCAATTTATTGTCCTTACCTGTTCTTTTTTGACACCTTGAACTCCAGAGACCATCTGCCCTTCCTCCACTCCCCAGAAGAGCATAATTAGCAGTGAGAGTGAGGTCGATCTCCAGCAATTGGCAACTTCCTGTAGGACAATTAGAGCCTATGGGTTAATGATGGGCAGGACCACGCCTTGACCAGAGCTGCTTAATTCTTAAGATCTGTCATCTCCCCATCTATTCAAATCTGAGCCTGTGCCTGGACATCAATGAAAGATTTGAGGAGTCTCTGGACCCCTTAATTTGTTCCTTTTCCTGAAATGTCTGTATTATATAAACCTGTTTTTCTCTGTTGTCACCCTTAGTTCTCTCTCTCTCTCTCTCTCTCTCTCTCTCTCTTTCTTTCTCTCTCTCTTTCTTACATGCACATAAACATGCACACACATACACACATCACATCATTGTGTAGCAGCCCTGGTTGGCCTGAAGCTCAATTCGTAGACTAGGCTGGCCTTGAACTCAGAGATTCGATTGTCTCTGCCTCTCGCATGCTGGGATTAAAGACCTGCAACACTATGCCCAGCCTTTAGTGATTTCTTTTACTGGTGAATCAGGGAATGGTGGCCTGACCAAATCTAATCTAATCTAATCTAACCTAACTCGTTGGGGCTGCTAGAGGCAGGCGGGGCAAGAAATGCACTTGCTATCAATGCAGCCACACAAACTCAAAGTGCTTAGTTGGTGCTTTGGAGTCCTTTCTGATGAGTGACAATGGTGGCAGGGTGAGTTGGGGATATCTCAGGACGTCCCTGGAAGGGCTACAGCAGACCAGGTCCCTTCTGACTCATTACACACTGGACTCTTCACTTTCTGCTCCTTGGCACATTTATAACCATTAGGGAGAAATTGAGCAGCACGGCAAATCTAAGCCAGTCAGCAAAATGGACTACAGACCCATTCAGATGCCTGGCATTAATGTCTATCCATGATGAGATGCAGGGGACAAATGTCCCTGCTCTGGGAGACATAATGGCTCCTGCCCTTGGTGGGAGTAAAGGGAGACAAAGAATCTTTACCAACTAGAGCAAGGGGAAGAGGACGTGCCATACACTGGCTGCAGACTGAGAGCGCTATAGAGTGAGGAATGCTGAAGGGGTCTCTTAGCAAAGGTTTTGTGGCATGTCCCCACTAGGAACATTGGGCCCAGATGGAACCATCCCATCAGAAGTAAACATTCTGTGAGCTATGGGTCTGTTATGGTCCTGGCATCATGTGGGCCTTGGGGATATAGCAAAGAATGATATAAAGACTTGGTCTTTAATATCTCCCACACTTTCCAGGCAAGGCAGAGAGTATGGGGGGCAGGTGGATACAGAGAAGATCCATGATAGACATATAACTGGAAAAAAAAAAAGCCTATGATATAATCTGGGTTTTGGGCCACTTGCCTGTCGAGTGAAGGGCAGACAGGTTAGGGTGCAGACAGTGTTTTATTCTAGAAAAGGCCGTGGTGGGAGGCGGGGTTCCTTGCCCATAGGGTTGCATTTGATTAGCAAATTGGGGAAAGTCAAAGGCCAGTCTAGGTAGCTGCACAAGGGAGAACACTATTCCAGTGCCCTGGGGTGGAAAGAAGATCAGTCACACAGGCAGGTGAAAGAAAAGCCTATATAAGAAAGTGGTTAAAGCACAAAACTTCATTCTCAATGACTGTGCACCAGAGAGATTTTGATCAGCAAAAATACTGAAAATCAGAAATTCCAGCAGCACTTCACTGAAGGGATACAGACTGGACGTTTGTCAGGGGACTTTGCTTGTGACTCTAGCTCCAGGGGCTTGAACACCTTCTTCCGATCTCCAGTGGTACCTTCACACAAGTGTGCATACACACAGGCATATACACACACAAATCCAAAAATAAACAATTTTTTCAAAATAAAATGGCTACTTTTAAATTTAAGTGTGCAACAGCATTTATTAGTGTTGTGGTCAAAGTAAGGGCAGAGAGTGGTTTCTAGGAGGATATGATTTTAGTCCAAAACAGAACAGGGCCAGAAAATACAGCCCAGCGGTACTGATGCTGACACACAAGCTTGTGTGTGCAGGGCAACCATTACCTTAACTCAGTATGGGAGATAGTGTTAGGCCTACATGTTCAAGAGGACAACGCAGCTCAGAGAAATCCAGTTTCTATCCACAGACCCAGGCCAGCAGACGACAGAACTCCTGTTCCCACCACCCACAAACCCCAATTCTTACCTACTCCAGGCATTTTATTGTTCCCAGCTGTGTTTGTTTGTTATTTGTGTAAATCTTTCCTATTTCTAGGGCTCAGCATGATTTCATCTTTTCATACTGTCCCAGGGTGTCCCACCTGACTAAAGATGTCCCTTTCCCCTTCTCATCTTTTATCTTAGTGTCAAATGAACTCCATCCAAAGCCAGCCATGTAAGGCATGACTGTGCATGTCGGTAAGCTTAGCACTCAGAGACGGAGGCAGGAAAATTTCAAGTCCAAGTCAGCTTGGGTTACACAGAGAGACTACATGTTAGAAAGAGCACTGTTGAGCAGAAGAGGAGGAGAAGGAATGTAGGGATGAAGGGAAGAAAGAAGGGTGGAAAGAAGGGAGGGAGAGAAGGAGGGGAGAAAGGAAACGGGGTTCAAAATTGGCATTTACCCACTTAGTAGTTGTGTGACTCTTGACATTTGACTTAATTCTAAATTTCACTTTTGTCATTTTAAACTCAGGTAACTCAGGTATATATATCGGTCAGGGTTCTCTGGAGCAGTGGTTCTCAACCTTCCTAACGCTGCAGTCTTTCAATACATTTCTTCATGTTGTGGTGACTCCCAACCAGAAACTTATTTCATTGCAACTTCGTAACTGTAATTTCGCTACTGTCATGAAACATAATGTGAATGCCCAATATGCAGGATATTTGGCATGTGATCCCCAAAGGGGCCCAGACCCAAAGGTTGTGAACTGCTGCTCTAGAGAAACAGAACCCATAAGTTCTTCTAGTAACAAAGTTTGCCTCATACCTGAGAGGCTGAGAACCTCAGCCTGTGGGATTCGATGACTTGGCAGACGGAGCAGTCCCACAATAGATGCTATTAGAGCCACAATGTCTCATATTGGAGAGGCCTACAGCTTGCTCGTCGCTTAGACCACAGGACTAGATGCCTCGGGAGTCTCAATATGCAGCACCAAACTTCAAGAGTCCTGGAGAGCTACTGGTCCTCAGTCTTGATGGAAACGGGAATATGCATCCTCAGCACAAGAGGAAAGAGGGAGGCCAAGTGAGCCAACAGTAAAGAATCTTCCTTGGGTGAATCTCCCCAAATCAATGAAGACAATCAGGACAATTCTTCAGCTGAAACTCCCTACTCAAGAAATTCTACTTTGTGGCTAGTTGACATTAAAATCAATTATCATGGGGGCCAGAGAAGCAGTTTCGTCTTGTTAAGAGTATTTGATTCTCTTCCAGAGGACTGGAGTTCAATTCCCAGCACTCATAAGTCACCTCACAAACATCATTAGCTCCAGCGTTAGGAGATTAACTCCAGTCCCAGTGGATCTGATGCCCTCTTAGGACCTTTTCAGGCACCAGACACACACTTGGTGCACAGTCGTGCATGCAAACAAAATACCTATGCACATAAATCGATTCTAATAACCATTCTGCCATGTGTTGAAGTTATAGAGCACTGCCAACTAGATCAAGCCTTGGAAGTCTCTCGACCCTTGTCTGATACAGAGCAGCTGTCTGTGACTGACTTATGCCTTAGCATGGCTAATGATCATATAACTGCTGACTGCACCTGGGATTAGTGACCAGTGATGATAATGACATAAAATTTTGCACCTCCACACTAACAATTACATCTTGACAGAACTTCAGTAAGAACTGATAGTAGAACTATGGCTAATAGAGAGGACCCAGCTGGCCCCTGACTGTGCTGTTTCCGGAAAAGCCAGTCCATTTATTCAAAAGTCCACAGTATAACTGAGACTCAGAGTAAGCAAACGTATAGGTAATCATCACATGCTATAAACCTGGTACTGGGACAGTTTGCATACACAGTCCCCAAACTCACAGTTCTGGAAAGAAAATCTTCAGACTCTTTAGAACATTCTGAAATGAGTCTAGTGAGTTACGCTTTCTGAAACACAATGCCTATCTTTTCCTCAGACAACTTTATTTTCATAAGCGCGCTGGTAGAAGACGAGAGCATGGGGTTGGCATGGAGTCTACAAGGTGACTAGATCCATTTCCTGAGGCCATCATGGAGTGTCGCAAATGGGGCAGCTTTGAGTAAGAGAGGTTTGTTGTGTGACTGTTGGGGCAGCTGAAATCTGAATCCAAGATATCAGCAGGACCATGCTTCCTCAGAAGCTCAGGGGTGATCTTACCTGGCCACCTGAAAGCACACATTACAATCTTTTCAAAGCAGTAGAGACTCCCTGAAGGGTACTCCTTTGTCTTCTGTGGGTGGCTGACTCCTTTGTCTTTCCCTGATTGACAGGCACCTCGCTCCAAACTCTGTGTCATCAAATGACGGTCTCTTCCCTGGGCATCTCTCTCTCATTGCTTTAGGAAGCACGTTGTTCTCTCTCTCTCTCTCTCTCTCTCTCTCTCTCTCTCTCTCTCTCTCTCTCTCTGTGTGTGTGTGTGTGTGTGTGTGTGTGTGTGTGGTGTGTGTGTTAAAACTCAGTCTATAACAATGAGCAATAAATAGGCCTTCTCTGGGACCTGAGACAGAGGGTTGAGAGACAGAGGTTTTAGTTGGAAAAGCCTGTACCTCACATCCCAGTGTCAGCGGGAGTGCGAGAGAACTAGAAATCCTTCCTCCCTCTCCCCTAGAGAAAAATGTTCTCAGAGTCTGGGGATGGAGCTCCATTAGCAGTGTGCCTACCTAGTATGCATGAAGCTTCGGATTCAATCTGTAGCACCATATAAAACAGATGTTGCTCGGGGCTACCAATTCAGTTATCTCAGAACTGAGGAATGCGCAGCTTAGGAGCCAAGGAAAATGACCCCTCTCTGTTTTTATTTTAATCACCAGGTCTTGATTCCAGTTCTCCTATTGAGTGCATCTCAGCAATGATCGTACAACTTTCGTTAGGTTAAATCATTGGAATTCTCATTTTTATAAACAGAAATTCATCAAATGTTGGCAATTTCATATAATTTGACCTGTACATTTCATAAGGTCTGGCCACAAAGATATATACTTGCCTTTAATTCTTCAAAGTGGCCCCAAGATTGCAGTTTCCACTTTGCCCTTAGATCCTACGGAGATGCTCTGGGGACCTGGCACACCCTTCCATGCCCAGGAAACAGCTCACATGTGTGCACTCCAAGAGAAGACTTTGGAGAGCCTGAATTCAAATTATTTAATCTCTCCATTAGTATGGTTTTTAGTAGTTGGTCTCCTTTGTGAATCAAAACCCTCCTTTGTTAATTAATAACAAAATATAGGATTATTAGTTTTAGCATAATTTGTATTGGTTCTTTGGAATTTCATATCATACACGCCCATCTCAGTCATTTCCCAGACCCTCCATGGCTGCCCTTCACCTTTGTAGCATTCCCCCACAAAAGGAAAAGTTAAAAAGAAATAAAGATAAAATAAAAGTAATAAGTAAAGTATAGAAAAAAAATTTAAAAAAGCAAAACATAAACAAACAAAACTAACACTTCACGCCTCTGTCTTTCCCACCTCTCCGTCGTTTCTTCCTTCATCTGGGTGGCATTGGGAGCTGCAGTGTGTCACACAGCAGACACTTTGTCCAAGCAGCATTACTTGCAAATGTTAAGTGTTTGTTCTGGTTCAAGGCGTCTGACTTCTGGTACACCACCTATACTGGGCCCTCACCAAAACTCCTCTCAGATATCCTGCTGTTGTCCCAAGTTATGAAGATCCTGTGGCTATGGTTTTGCAGAACCAATCCTTTCATGTGCTCCAGCAGGTCATAGATAGGGTAGATGTTGGGGTGGGCCAACCTGTGGGGTAGCTGAGTTGGTAAATCTGGGCCACGGGACCAACCCCTCAGGTAAGGGGCAGAGCCAGCTCTCCCATACTCATTGTAAGGGGTAGGACCAGCTTTCCCAAGTGGGGAGGGGCAGCTCCCCTGTGAGTGTCAAGGCCCGCTATCCCATGCTGGGATCTTTGGACCCACTATCCCAGGGATAGTGAGGGGCAAGACCAGCTCTCCTGGGGCTAGAGGTGGGGGGGCGGGCAGGCTGAGCACTGCCCTCAGACTTCAACAGGCATAGTTTGTACAGCAACTCAGGCAATGGACATCAGCACAGACCCTCAGCTGCAGGGAAACCACTGAGCCAGACAAGGTCCTCAGCAGTAGCTTCGGTCGGATGTCATCGTGACCCTAGGTACCAGAATAGGCCACTCAGATCAGTATGGGCCCAGACTTTGTGGTCCCCCTAGTCCAACAGGACAGGTAATAGCCCAGACACCAGCTATCTGCGTGGTCTTTGGTGTTAGCAGGAGTCAGTAGGGTCACAGGTCTACACATAGCCCTTGGCTGCAGCTCAGGCCTGGGCATCACCATGGTCCTGGGTGGCAAGTAGGTCACCCACATCACCCCATTTCTCACAGCCTCTCTCCACAGCACATGAACCATCTGCCCCCTCCCACTTGTCCACCACATGAACACTCACCACAGTGGCACACCTTGTGGTTCTGGGAAAGCCCATGGTTGTCTTCTCCCTACCCAGGCCAAGCTGTATTAGGCAGGAGAAAATTGAGGGTTAGTTTAAGGGCTAAAGTATGCTCTAGACAATTATATGTGCACACACACAAAGCATGGTACCAGCACAGTAGATGGTAACTGAATGATATTTCCCTTCAGCACCTTTACTATATTCCCTAATTCCAGTCACTGGTGAGGAAAGAGCCCAAATGATGAGACAGCCTGTGGCTTTACGAAGGTAACGAGAACCAAACAATAATGAGACAAAACTGGACACCTTGGTCACTAGTTTGCTCTTTTATACTCAAGAGTAGCACCTGTCTCAAGGAGTGTATGTTAAACTCAGTTACCGGAAAACTGTCTTAGTATGTTGCCTTTCTCATCTTAAAACAAGCAAGCTCCATTTGAATTCTACACATGATATTCTTGCGTTTACATGAAATGTCATTTTCCAACATAGGTGTTCTCAGACTCTTTTCCGATGGGAGCACACATGACATTCCCATAAACTCGCAATATATGACACTCTTGGGGAGGGGACTACTCAAGAGACCCCCCTAGCTCGCTGTAGGTCTCCCTTCCCCCCCCTCAAGAAAACCTTGAGAGAAGGGCATGGTAAAGGTGACTTTACAGTGACAACCTCCCAAATCTTTCTCCAGTGCCTAAAGATATTAGCAAATCATTGGCCCCTGTCATGCCTGCACCATACCAGAAATGAGTGTGTGGTGCAATACCTACAGAGAGACTACTCTTCTAAGGCATGTAATACTGCAATCATCTAAGTAACTAGAAACCATGAAGCCATTAGGCAATTCATATCTACGACGTTTACACTCTCCACCATCTTAGCCACGGACCCACAGTGAAGTCTGAATCTTTTTTTTTTTTCTGTTTACGAACGCTGAACAAATAAATCCATTTCAACCACAATGTTTAGCCAATGGTATTCCTACCTCTGAATGAAGTATAGAAAAAAGAAACCACTCCAGGCTTCCTGTCTTTCAACATCTACTACAGGCACGATATTGTTCTCACTCTGACCGATTCTACCTCAACATCCCAAGCCTTCTCCCACGTCTTTAGACTTGTGAGCATTCTAGTCGATGCTTCTCTTCTTCTCTGTGGTCAAAGCTCTTTCTTATCCGCTGTGAACAGTGTGGCTATGGAGATGCCACTGAGGCTATCAAAAACCTACCACTGATCCCAGCTCTAGGATAGCCACCCTGTTATAAGTTCAAACTCTTCGAGCTAAACCCAAATCGGCAGCTACAGTTCGTTCAGCTTGTGAATCTTCCTGGAGTGGAATTTAGGACAGGTTTCCTCTCTCCTTGACAAAGACTTCCTAATAGGAGAGTCTGTTCTGGACCAAGAATAGTTTGCAATTTGGTTGCGCTCCCGGTTAATGCAAGGAGAGCAAGTTTTGGTTCATTCTTATCAAGACATAGAAACTTAGAACCAGGATGAGATGGAACCTGTCTTAGTTAGGGTTTCTATTGCTGTGAAGAGACACCATGACCACAGCAACTCTTATAAAAGAAAACATTTAATTGAGGTGGCGGCTTAGAGTTTCAGAGGTTTAGTCCATTAGCATCTTGGCGGGGAGCATGGTGGTGTGCAGGCAGACGTGGTGCTGGAGAAGGAGCTGCTACATGTTGATAGGCAGGCAATGGGAAGTAGACTGTCTCACTGGGCATGGTTTAAGCATAC